TTAATTTTAGCAACTTATCTTCAAATTTACTTCCTCTTTAGACCTCATGGCTTCATGGACTCCCTTTTCACGATGATTCCTTCATCGTGGGTTATGCCTAATATATATATATAAAGAAATAAATTAAATCCCACGTCTTGCTAAATTTTAGCAACAGAAGTTGACTTGGCTGAACCATTGTTGAAGTCTCCTAAAAATAAGGAGAAAATTGCCTCCACGTCCCCATGACTTAGTTAACTTTTATTTAGATGGAAAATACCCATCTAATTGGTATCCTACTGAAATAGGATCTTCCAATTAAATTCAACTTGAACAAAATTAATCCATCGTGGCAAGTTTAATAAAGCTCGTCATGTGTTGATAAATTATTGGTTGGCTGATTTTAGCCTTCTCATGAGATTGTACTCATGATAATAACTCCATGCCATTTTCTTTTCCTTTTAGGACATTATATCCTAATTTTGGTAAGTCCTAAAGGGACTCGCCACTATCTTTTAATTTTCCATAATTTAAATATTCCAAGGTGGAATATTTATCAATATTATAGTCTAACATGGCAAGTTCCATTGGAACTTGCCGCATACCTCTTTTCTATTTAAGGAACCACATTAACAATTCCATGTCACATCCTCTTTTCCTTGGACAATTAGAACATTAAGTCAATATGGTAAGCTTTGTCAAAACTCTCCACTTGTCTCTTTTCCATTGGGTAAAATAATGGAATAAACATATGCCCCCCAAATTCCATGCCTTATAGAACAACTTGAAAATAAGGCGTGGGTTTTGATTTCCGCCATCAGAATACCATCATGGTCGCTTGATTTTCCAACCCTAACCACAACTAACTTCTTGGCTTCCATCATATTAATTTCCTTTAATCACCAATCTCCTAGATGCCGTGTGCCCCTAAAAGACCTATTCGCTGCTTCCCATAAAAATCTCTTTACTTTCCTTTTTTGAATTTCAAAATTCCAACTGAAACCCTTCCAATAGTACCCTTAGGTTTTTGGACACTCAAGATAATCATTAAAAGGAAACACGTGGCTGCTCCCCTTGTATATTCTGAGAACATCCTCTCCAATCACTGATTTTCGTATCTTCAAGGAGATCTTAACCATTTACGACATCGAGCCGTTAGCCTTTTCAATCCTCATTATTTCCTTTCCAAATCCTCCTCTAACTACCCCTTCTCAAAAGGCGTCCTTGGACTTTGAAAGATTTCACCGTAAAAGACTAAAATCTTCTACGTGTTATTCGGCTGGTCTCTTGATTCTACCCATGTTAATCTTTCCAACCGCCAAACACATTCTGTCTCCCAATAAACCTCTCATCCATTTATGGCATTACATCATCCAACTTCCAAAACCTTTTAAGACTTTCTTTTGAATTTTGAAAACCCAACCACCCATCCTAGGAAAATGCCCTCAGCCTTTACTTCCTTCTTTATCGTTTCTATATATATATTCCTTCCATCCTTATCGTTTGCCACCAACTCTTCTTTTATCATCTTTCCTCATTCTGAAACCCTAAAGGACATCTCCACCCACAAAAAAATTACAGACCATGGCCCCCAAGAAACCTTCCAAGCCAACTACTAGCTCATCCCTGCCAGCTCCTTCTATTCAAACCAAAACCAAAATTCGAAGCCACAGTCACCAAGTTCAAGTACTCTTGAAGTCTCTAAACCCTGCTAGACTTCATCTTGAAACTCTGATTCACTTCAAAGACGACTCAGTTGGATTGGGTCCAACCTTTGCTAATGTGGCCCCCTCTAAATTAGCCGAATTCTACCCTTCTAGTAAGTCTCCAATTCCTTTTGATTCAAAGTTCTCTCCTATTTCAAAGAAAGGGAAAAAAGTAAAACCCTCATTCAGCATAAGAAACTGGCCAATATATCATTCATCCTGGTCTTCATGGGTGAGTCGTCTTTCTAAAGACGAGAAAATCTCTTCACAGTGGAAGAAACAGGGCATCTATGACATTATCCAAATCAGTAAGTCCTCTATAACACTTGATCCAACCCTCCTCTTTCCAGCCCTTTTCTTTTGGTCTTCAGCCACCAATTCTCTGCATCTTAAATGTGGAATGATGTCCCCCACTCTAAGATATATTTGTTGCATCACAGGTCTTAAGCCTCATAGAGATGACGTAAGTGCCACCCTCTTCGTTGAACAATTCCTCTTTCCAACCAAGACCACTAGAAGTAAGAAGTTTATCTCCTCCCACCTCCCTTTTATTAAACACTGTAAGCAAACTGGCCTAGTTCTAGAAGATGAGCACATTATTTTCCTGATTTATTGGCTTTCTGGCCACTTGCTATGCGTTCTATCCGGCCAAGTCACAAAAGACTTTGTTCAAGTGGCCGTTTCCCTAGCCAGAAATGGAGACTTAGCATTAGCTCCCCTTGTACGTTCTCATTTATACAGAGGTCGTCACGATCTCCTTACTTCCAAATTTTCAAGGTTCCAAGGCCCCTTCTGGTTGTTCCAAATGTGGCTTAAAGTGTACTTCCAAAACAGAACTTCACCCCTAGTCACTCCAACTGGAAAATCCCTTCTGTGCCATTCTTTGGCAACCGCAGATCCTTCTCCTCTCAGCTTTGCTGAAAACTTTGAATATTTTTACAATAAATGTGAGATTGGAAACGATGAGTTCTTTGATCCATTCACTGCCATTGGTCGCATGCCATCATGGTTGGTTCTATCTCTCGGAGTGTCCACCAAGAAACATTCTGAAGATTGAAAAAATATTTGGGCCAGCTTCCTTATTGCTCGTGACCTCTATTATAGCACTGCTCAACCTACTTTGACGAATAGTTTCTGTGGCGTTAAGTTCTATAACCCAGCCCAACTAGCAAGGCAAATGGGCTTTATCCAAATGATTTCTTTGCCACCCTGCAAATCTTACAATAGATTCTTTGACCAACGTGTTCGTCTTACAGATACTGAACAATTTGCAGCGATTGACTAAGCCTACGCAGCGGAAAGAGCAGCTTTTAATTTCAAAGGCCATACTAGCAAGCCTTAATCAACCAATGAATTCGATGTATGGTGGTCAGCCTATATCTCATCCACCCGAACCAAGAATCATAAGGCTGTCTGTGATTCCATACTGGCATCTTTCAAGCCTCTGTCTCCAGGTATTAATGTATTTACTGTAAATTCCATTCCCTTTTGAAATCCATCAACCCTCCATATACTGAGACTTGGTTAATTTCAGATGAAGAAAAGGAAATACTTGAAGAAAGTGAAGAAGAAGAAGGTGGAGAGAAAACCACCACAATGGCTAGTAAAATTGAGGGTGTAGCCGAAAGTGGTGATGTAAGTATTGAAAGTCTTTCCTCAAGTGATGATGAAGAGGAGGAAGAAGAAGTGGAAGAGGAAGAGGAGGATGTTTTATACAAGGCAAAGGGAAAAGGAAAAACCTCTCAGGTATTTCAATGTGGCCGAACTTAACTGTTTCATATTCTGGACCTTATTTATACTTCCTCTTGTAGGGACTGGCCATTGTCAAAAAGGAATTTCAGCCCCAACTATCCTCTTCTGATGAAGATTCTTCTGATGGTGAAGTTGGCATTTCCAAAGGGCGAACCACTACTCAGCATTCCAGTAAAGCCCTAAAAATGCGTAGCCTTTCTGGAAAAGTTATTGGAAAGGCTAAAAGGAAAATCATGCCTGAACTGAAAAAAACAGAAGAGTTTAAACAAACCGGAGACTCCCCAAATCACAAGAAACCAATGTCATCCAAAGAGCTTGTTTGGTAAGTCTCAATCCCTATCCTTCTCCATCTCATTACTTTACACTTTAAAATGTTTATAACTTTAATTTGACCAAATAAGGCTCTACTATGGGACATAATTTCATGAATATCCACCAGGATCAACAAGTTGCACAAGGAGGGGATTTGGCCCTTCAAGCTTCAATTATGGAGAGTTTGACCATCAAGAATGAGAAAAGTCTGCCCATTCCAACTTCCACTATTGGAATATCCATTCCTTCCAGAACTGGTGGAACTTCTACTGGTCATACTCCTTCCATCCCAGAGGCAAGTCTTCATTCCTTTATACTTCGCCTCCTTTCTTTCTTTCTATCTAATAGAAACTTGTTTCCATTTCAGGCAACTCCTTCCTTATCTACCTCAACCTCCTTTATGATGCAGAGGAGAGCCCTTCTAGCCTTAGCTAATCTTTACAAAGTGATCAAGGCCACCAAATCTTCCAGTACTTCTACTTCAAGTGCAAGTGTCCTCACACTTCCAGGACCTTCAGATGATGCTATTATGGTGGCAAAAAAAAGTTGTTGTCTTATCTTGCCCACGATATGGAGGGTGTAGTCTCTTTCCACTTAAGTCTAGCTAGTACTATTGTGACCCTCAAAAAACATTCTGAATTTCCTGAGTCCATCCATGCTTCTTTGACCAAGCTGCAACACCAACTCCAATTCTTTGTTGCCCATGTGAGCTCCAGTACTTCTATAGTTTCTGAGTATGAAAAGGAAGCCAAGCTCAGAGATAAAGCTCTTGAGGATTTTCAACTCTCCTTAGAATCCTACCCAGAAATCAAGGATCGGGCTGAAAAGCTTATGATCAAGAAAGAAGAACTGAATGAAGAACACAATGGAAATGCATGTATATACAAGCAAGATGAACAATTTCCAGTATGATCAAAACCTGGAACACGTAGCGTAGCCAGTTCTTCAATGAAGTCTTCCATACTTAGGAAATCAGCTGATCTTGGAAATTCAGCTAAGTCTGCTTCATAACTTTAGTCAATATACTTTTCCAAGTACTTAGCTTTTCCTTCTTAGAATGGCCGAATGGCCATTACGCTTCCTTTCCAACTTCCGGTTTACTTGGAAAGGAAGATACCAGCCATTCTACATGGCCGGTTGAATGATTGTGGATTTCCAGTTTTCATAGATGGAAGGGTGGTACTTTTTCAAGTACACATCATTCACAGGATGCCTGTGAGACCCTCCATCTATATCCATCAATCTATAAGCTCATTTTCCAAGGACTCGTTCTACCAAGTAAGGACCTTCCCAATTATGAGTCCATTTTCTATACTCTAAACTTTTAACTCCAGGTGGAAATTTGACCTGCCATACCAAGTCTCCTTCTACAAATGTCTTCGCCTTAACCTTCTTATTATATGCCCGCATGACTTTCTTCTTTTGAGCAATAATATGATCTAGAGCATTGAGACGAACTTCATCAAGGTTTTCTAATTCTGCTAACATAGCATGGTTGTAATCTGCTGGAGTTAGCCTATTTTGGAAAGCCACCCTTGCAGACCTGATAGTCATCTCCATTGGAAGGACAACATCATGTCCATATGTAAACACATATGGTGTGACGCCTGTACTTGACCTTTTTAAATTTTTGTAGGCCCAAAGAGCTTCAGAAAGCAAGTGATGCCACTCCCTTGGATGATCCTCAATCATCTTTTCAAGGATGTTGAGAATTACTTTGTTGGAAGCTTCTGCCTGTCCATTTGCCTAGGCAAAATATGGAGTGGAACTGATCACTTGTACACCACACTCAGCACAATAATCCAAGACCTTGCTTCCAATAAAGGAAAGACCTCTGTCAGTGGTGATAGTCTCTGGAATTCCAAACCTATGTATAATGTGCTTCTTGATAAATCAATCACCGTTGACTGCTCACAAGTCTTTAGTGGAATGGCTTCCACCCACTTTGTGAAATAATCTATTGCCACCACTATGTGAGTATGGCCATCTGAAGATGGAGGCCTTAGCTTTCCAATAAAGTCCATAGCCCATCCTCTAAATGACCATATTTTTACTAGTGGCTGCATATTAATAGCTGGAACTCTTTGGATCGGGCCATGTTCTTGACATGCAGTACAAGTTTTGGCAAACTCTATGCAATCTTTCAATATGCCTTTCCAATAATAACCATACCTTCTAAGGAGCCACCTCATCTTGATTACAGCTTGATGTGCTCCGCATATTCCAAGGTGTGTTTCCGTTATTACCCTCATGGATTCATCTTTTCCGAGGCATCTTAACAAAAGTCCATCTTCTTTACTGTTCTTGTAAAGGTCCCCATCAATCAGAATGTAATATGGCACCAAAAGCTGAATTCTCTTATCCATCTTGGAGCTAGGCTCTTGCAAGAATTGGATAATTGGTGTTCTCCAATCATCCAAATCTAATCCATCAATATCAATATTGAAAACCTCCCATAGCTTATTGGCAGGTTTGACTCTTTCTGGCTCTTCAGATTGGAAATGACTTGCCATCTCATACCGTAACTCTACCGAAGGAAGACTTCTTCTTTTAACTGTGATCACAGCTTCTTCCACACCCGGTGGGACTTTCACTAGAGAGGCTAATTGTGCTAGATCATCAGCCTCCGTATTTAAATGTCTAGGCCAATATTTGAGTTGGAAATCATCAAACTGGCAAAGTAACTCTAAGGCCAAAGAGTGGAAAGGCCTCAGACGCCAGTTAAGACATCCATATTCTTCCGATAGTTGGCTAAGTATCAAGTTAGAATCTCTAATAATTTGAACCTTCTCCACCTTTAGCTCTAGTACAATCTCCAGCCTAATAATTAGTGCCTCGTACTCAGCTTGGTTGTTTGTACACTTGAAATCCAAGAAGAAAGAAAATTTGGTTTTTTTTCCTTTCGGAGAAATGATGACTATTCCAGCTCCACCTCCATCATGAGTGCTTGATCCATCAAACATGAGAGTCCAAAGTATATAGTCAAGGTAGAGATTATCCACCTTATTTAATATTTCTGAATCTATCTTAGTAGATGGATGATCTGCTAGGAATTCTGCTACCGCCCTTCCTTTGACTGCCTTTTGTGGAATATACTTGAAGGAAAACTCCATTAATGCCAATGACCACTTTCCAATACGTCCAGTGATCAATGGCCTGGAAAACATATACTTAATCAAATCTATTTGAGAGATTATATACACGGCCACTGGCAACATATAGGTTCTCAATTTCATAGCCGCATAATATAAAGAAAGACACAACTTTTCAATGGAAGTATACCTACATTCCACTAGAGTGAGCACCCTACTTAGATAATAGATGGCTTGCTCTTTCCCCCATTCATTATTCTGAGCTAATAGAGTTCCAATGGACTCGTCGGCGGCCGATAAGTATAATCTTAAAGGCCGCTTCTTGATAGGAGGCATCAGCACTGGAGGGTTGGCCATGTAGCTTTTCAAACCTTCAAAGGCTTGCTGGTGCTGTTCTATCCACTTGAATTCCTCAGCAGCCTTCAATTTCAGCAAAGGGCAGAAAGCATGGGTCTTTCCAGCATGGTTGGCAATGAACCTCCTTAAATATCCAACCTGGCCGAGGAATCGCTACAACTCTTTCTTAGTGGCCAGTGGATTTACTTCAATAATTGCCTTTGCTTTATTTTGATCTATCTCAATACCCCTTTGGTGGACCAGGAAACCTGGGAAATTTCCAGCTAAAACCCCAAAAACACACTTCAAATGATTCATCTTCAACTTGTGTTGCCTCATCATTTCAAAAGCCATCTTCAAATTGTGGAGATGTTGATCTTTAGCCGAGGACTTGATGACCACATCATCAATGTAGACTTCCAAGAAATGGCCAATCATGTCATGGAATATGGCATTCATGGCTCTTTGATATGTTGCTCCGGCATTCTTCAACCCAAATGGCATGACAACCCATTCAAAGGTTCCAATGGAACCTGGACATCTGAAGGCTGTCTTGGCAATATCTTCCTCTGCAATGTAAATCTAGTTGTACCCGGAATGTCCATCCATGAATGAAAGAATTTCATTCTTGGCAGCAGAATCTACTAACTGGTCAACAACAGGCATGGGATACTCATCTTTTGGAGTTGCAAGATTGATATTCCAGAAATCCACACATACCCTTAGCTTGTCATTTTTCTTAATAAATGGAACTATATTGGAAATCCAGTCAACATACCTGGCGGTTCTTATAAAACCAGTCTTGTGTAGCCTTTCTATCTCTTCTTTGACCTTTAGAACAACTTCCTGGGACATCCTCTTTGGAGGCTGCTTGAAAGGCTTGAAACCTTCCTTAATTGGCAACTTATGCTCTACCAGCTCTCTGGAAAGTCCTGGCATTTCCCCATATGTCCATGCAAAACAATCTTTGTATTCTTCAAGAAAGGAAATCAATTCATCTCTAAAGATTGGGTGCAAAAGCTTACTAATGTAGGTAGCCCGAGGGTCCTGTTCTGTTCCAAGATTAACTTCCAAAAATGGATCTTGTACTTCGGCCTTGAGATCGTCTAACTTCGTTGGCGCTGCCTTCAAGTCTGTCAGCTGGATAGCATCCAACTTATCTTCAGTATCTTCCATAATCTCTAAAACATTGGTTGAAAATGAAGTACCAGCAATAGCAGCCCTTTCTAACTGTAGTTCGGCTAGATATGCTTTCAACCTGGCAAGGCAGCAGTTAACCGCCTGGCCAAGTATTCTATTTTCTCTAGGTTTCTCTTCCATAAAAACTTTTGTTTGAAATGTATTGCTGAACATCGGCCTTGGGTAGAATTGTTGGCCTTAGTGTTTCTTGGAAAAGCTCCCTTACATCTTCTTCCGTAAGAGTCCTTCTCATGGTGGCCTTCCTTGGATGGCCCTTGCTATCCTTTCCAATAAATCTGATTGGAACAAATTCTTCACTATATAACTCAGCATCTGCATGATAAACCCTTGCCATAAATGGCCAGCTATCAACTTCCACCACTTTTACCTCATCTCTATCCCAAAATATTAACATTTGATGGAGCGAAGATGGAATGCAAAAATTTGGGTGAATCCATTCGCGGCTTAAAAGCAAATTATAGGCCGCTGTAGACTCAATAACAAAGAAGGTTGTGATGGAAGTTCTATCTCCCACCGTTAGTTCCAACGGTAGGATTCCTTGCGTCTTCACTATTTCTCCTGTGAATCCACTAATGGACATATCAGTTGGAATGATATCTTCAGGAGACTTTCCAAGCATGCGCATAACATTGATTGGAACAACATTCAATACCGAACCATTGTCTACCAGAACTCTTGCCAAAGGCCTTCTTTCCACTAGCACCTTGATGTACAAAGGTTTGAGCTGCTGAGTCATGCCATATGGTGGCTTTTCCAACACAATTTTCTTTGGCCTCATAGGGTTGTTCTCTTCAATCACAACCCCCTTTAATTTCTGGAGATGCTTAGCTTCATCTTCAAAGACCTCCTCTATATGAATACCATTATTTGGTTCTATAATGGTTGGCCCAGAACTAGACTGTCCAAGACTTTTCATGGGAGGACTTGTATCTACTACATCTCCTTCCATTGAATTGGGCTGATTTGGCTGAGGCTCAAAAAATAAAGGAAGAACCACTACTATATTGCAAGAAAATTCACCTGTAAGGCTCCCAAAACAGATTTTCTTGCTGCTACTGAAACTACTGGGAATTTCCAAATCTGTTTTATCTTTTGTAGGAGGATTGTCTGTAGTCAAGGAATTTCCAACCTCTGAATCAAGATCTAGCAAATCATCAGGATCTCTCTCTTTTCTTCTAGATGGAAGCTCTTATAAGTCTGACGGCTTAATAGTCTTCTTTGTCTAGCTGGACCATCCATGGTCTTTCTCTCATAAACTTCTTCTATCAGCCCTCTTCCTTTGTTGCCTTCGCTTTTGTGTACGAGTAATATAAAAGTCATCATGAATGGGAAACTTGGGATGATCAAGCCTTCTCCATCCCTCATCTTGATAGGTAGGAGGTCTAACCATTCTTGGTCGGAGATGCTCACTCCCCCTTCTAACCCATACTTCCGAGGCCATTTTTGGCCTGGAATGCCTGTCACCTTCAGAACCTCTGTCTTGCCATCTACTACTTTCAAACTTTCTGCGAGGACAAGAAAATGGCTGATAGGAAATTCTATTCCTTTCCACACTCTTTGGAAAGATTTCAGATTTTCTCTCTGCTGCCTTCTTTTCTGGATGAACCCAGCTTTCCTTCTCTGGAATGGTTACAGTAACTGTATTTTCCACCTTTTGGAAAGTTAGCCGCTTATGGACTTTCGTTTTCTGACCCCAGTCACTATTGGAGGGCTTTCCATTCTGTTTCTCTTTTGGAAAATCTTTACGGCAACCTTCATTCTGAACTTTACACTTGGGGCAACAACCTTGTTGGATTAAAACAATCTAGGCCTCTCGGAGTTGCCTCTCCAACTCAGCTACTGTCTTCTCTATAGATGTTGCCGCCTTTGGAATTTCCAACCTTCCACTGGTCGCTGGATTTACCAAGTCCACCTCCTTTTTGGAATGCTCCGGAATCATGGAAACAACGTTTGTTGCAACAACCTTGGGGAAAGGATTTCTATCAACACCTATGACTTCTGATTTTTCTGGAAACTTCAAACGGCCATCTTCGATTGTGTAATACCCCGATATTTTAAAGGATTTATTAAATGGAATTAATTACTATTATTTTATTTTTAAATAATTTGTTAGGATTTTTATTTATTTATTTATTATTGGTGTAGATAAATTATCTTGTTTTAATAAAATTATATTTCGTGATTATATATATTGATTGTTAGCGTGTTGATTTTCTTGATATGGTGTGAATTAGTTGTAACTTCACGTTTGTTAATGTGCTTCGTGTAATTAGTTTTCAATACTTTAAGTGGTTGAGTAATTATTTTATTTATTTAAATTAATTGGAATGGGCTTACGAGAAATTGGACCAAAGGATGTGGTATTGGGCTTGGATGAAGCCTTATTGGGTAATTAATTAGAGACCCATGGTTATGAGGTTATTTAAAGGATGTTGTTGTGCATAAATATAATAATAATAATTATTATTTGAGGTTAATTAATTAATTATATAAATATAATTAATTAATAATTATTATGGAAGGATATATAATTATATATTATATATATTTATAGATAAATGTGCATATGATTTAATTATTTAAGGAAGGAAGTATACATATATATTAAATATAATATATGTGTATTTATATATATATATATATAACATAATATGTGTGTATATATATTTATATTATTAAAGGATGATTATTATTTATTCAATAGTCATACTAGTAATAGGATTAGGGTTATGTGTATAAATATACACATAACGTTTTATTGTGAAAAGTTTTCACGTTAGGAAAATAAGAGAGAGTCAAAGAGAGAAGAAGAAGGGCTAACGAAGAGAGGGCTGGATCAAAGAAAGAGGAGACCGGATTTGGAAAAGAAAGGCAAGTTCTTCTCTACTTCTCCTCTTAAAATTCATAAACCTATCACCTTGAGTATCAAAATTATATGTTTATTGTGTTAATTAAAAATAAATTATTAATCGAATTAGAAGAGCATGTTTATTCTTTACAAAATTTTAGATTTAAACATGTGAATAGATGTATGAATAGTTCTGATAATTTTAAATCTTGTTTGTGAGGTTAGGTTAATTAAATTTTATTTTTTTAAAATTTTCATAGATTGCTTTAACCTTGTGAAGCATGATTAATTAAATTAAAAATTATATAGGTCTAAATTTAGTTATATATGTTCAAGTGGGCCCAAAATAATTAAATTAAGCTTTTGGGATTTTTCTAAAATTTTCTAGGATTTTATGAAGATTTTCTGGAATTATTTTATGTTTTTTTAGAATTTATTTTATATAATCTGTATATATATATATTGTACATATATACGCACTGGAGGGTTAAAGAAATCGGCGCAACAAATAGGGCGCTTTGATTCGGTGAGTCGCGGAGCGCAGCACCTCGGTGCGCCTCAAATTCGGACCTTAGGATGGTCCTGATGATTTCCGGATTATCCAGTGTGGGTATGTACATGGGTAGAAGGTGTACACACCGATCTAGGCCCTTGGATGGATTTGGTCAACAAAGAATAGATCCGGTGCATCGCGGCTCATAGAGTTCAGTGTGTGTGTGGATCTGGACCGTTGACTTGGGCCAATCAACATAAAATTAATCCAGTGTAACGCAGCTTACCCAAGTCCGGATTTCTAACCAACCAGAAGCAGCCACGTCATCCAGAATGAAGAACAGGCGCGTGGTGGCGCGTGTACCACACGTGGGGGCGCGTGAAGATACCTGCCAGCTTATGGTGGCGCGTGGAAGCGCGTGCAGTGTGTTTGGGCGTGTGTGGTGGCGCGTCGTGGCGGCGCGTGTGGAGGCGTGCTGGTCCCGAAAAGTTCTTGTGGGGTCCAGTAAGGTCTCTGAATTGATTTTAAGGTTGTTAGTGTTGAAATTAACCTTTAGAAGGGGAGTTCGTGGTGTTCTAAGAGCCATACAGTGTTACTAAAATATTTAGTAGCCTTTAATTTGTATAAGTATAACAAATTAATGATTTATTACAGAAGGAAGTATATATATATATATATACATATATTTAATCATATATGGGTATATATGGTTATTTAATTTCTGATTAGTATGGTAGGAAGTAGTGTTATATATACATATAGGTATGTATGTATATATATATTATGAAAGGTATTATACACGTATATATTAGATAATATATGTGTATATGTATAACACTTAGGATAATTAATATTAATTATTCTTATTTAATTAGTATATCGGGATAAGCTGGTTGTTAAATTAATTATATGCTTTTACTATGTATTGAATGCCTATGTATGATTTGATTGAAGGTTTAATTG